CTGCCCTGATGGACCGCACCTTGAACACCATCACCCGCTGGGTCATTCCCACACAGCTGCTCACGATGCTGGGCGTTGCTTGAAACAGCTGGTGAGTCCATGTATCTGCTATAGCTCCGGCTTGGACGAGGGGTCGAATGAATTATGTCTTGGCTATAAGAGTACGCCTCCTATTGTACCCTTGCCGTTTGAAGAAGCTGCTTGACTCTCCGTGTTCAATCGCTGCTGGAGAATTGCCTTCCACTGGGAGAGTTGCCAATCATGTTGCCGCCGCAATCATGTTATCCAACGGGTTAGAATAATGACCCGGTGGTGTTGGCACATGCTGAGGCGGAACAGTGTTCAAAGGAGGTGGCTCCGCTATGTGTGGTTGAACTGGCGTTCCGACCCCAGGTGCTGCAACTCGGTTTAACTGCGGAGGGTTACTGGTCCCCGCTCCAGCCGTGCAAAAGAGATTTCTCCCCTCATAAATTGAAGGTAGACGAGATATGTGCCTCCTTCTCATGACTTCATTTGAAGCGTTCTGATCCATCGTAAGCCAGTAAGGCTCTGCTTGGATCCGTTGCGCCTGGGCATCCACGACAGCTCGCTCCGCGGCCATCCTGACGTCCTCAGCCACCAGGTCTGCCTTGGCTTGTGCTATCTCATTTCGCAGCTTTGTAACTTCTGTGTTGTGCTGATCTTGATTCGCCAGGTTGACTTCTACTGTCAACAAGGCCATCAACTTATCCAACAAGTCTGTCAAAACTTGAGCCGGCGGGCGCACAGGGCCTCCTGCCCCGGCTGCCATCGTCACTGCTGACCCGAAGGTCATTGCTGCCACAGTTGAAGAATTCTGCATGGGCTGCGTCCCGGCCATAAAGATTACAACCCGGTTCGGCGGCTCATAGGGGTCTGGAATACTGTCGCCATCAGAATAGCCCCCAAGCCTACCATCTTGCAGTTGATACAACGAAGTAGTCTCGCCCGTGGATGAATCACCATCAGAGTAGATGGCCGTCTCACCACCAGACATAGATCCTTCATCAAATTCCCCTCCATGGATGCATGCCACGAAGGCACGCTTCACGGCGGGCTGAGCTCGGGCGGGTCTTGCACGCCGAGCTGTCTTGATGATGTCTGTGCAGATGTCCGGCTCAGGGCCCGGCTCGCCGATCTTGCCGATGAAGACGTGAATTCCGCCAAAGGGGACCCGGTACCCGTACTCAATTGAGCCGCCCTCGGGGCCCCAGCCTGCATCATCGATGTAGAGTTTGCGCGAGAACTCTTGGTCATCCGGCCCAAAGTGTATCCTTTGATCCCTTCGAAGCTGCCCTTCAAGAACTTGAAACCACCGTCCGCTGGCCCCACGGTGGGCGCCAACTATCGTGGAATAGTCACGGCAGATGTCCTAATGAAAGAACTTAGTCGTGGAGCCATCGCCTCTAGGTTAGCTTAAACAGGTTCAATGGGACAAAGGACACAGGAGTTTATACTGGTTCGGCCCCTTGCGGTGAAGGTAAAGGCCTAATCCAGTTTGAGGTGGTATTGCTTATGTCTCGATTACCAGGGAGCGAATCCGCTTGACCTAGCTTTCGATCTGTTGTTTTTTGTCTTGAACTGCCGTCGGGTTGTCCCTTTATATACACAGGTTGATGCCCAGCGGCTCACGGAGTCCCGGCCGGCTCATAGACAATGTGTCCGACTCGGTGACTATCTTTACATGCCTTACAATACAAGTCTTACATATATGGCGGTTTACTCTACGAGCCTTAATTCACCCTTGGGCCTTGGGTTGTGAACCTCTATCTTCAATGTCTTCGTGGGCTTCATATCAAGAATCATCATAGGTATAACCCGGCCCCTTCTTGGCGGGTCATACCTAATAGATATATCCCCAACAGATTCTAAGTGCACACATCGGTAATTACCAAGGACGGAATTCATTCGTGTAGCCCTACCGACAGAGGACGTATGTTTCCTATCGAGTCACTCAGTTGTTTTTCAGATCACTCATCTATTCCTTTCCACTCCGATTTGCACAACTGGCGGACACCTATATGTTCAAATTGTACGAGGCTCTTTGAGGGAAAAAAAACAAAAGATTTCAAGATGCAGATGTGACACACCGGGCAAAAGCTCTGCTTTTCGACACCATCGGTGATGGCGCCCGTGCATGTCGCATTTCTCCTGAGGACGTCATTGTGGTTATCTTGTTCATGCCATAGTTCCCCTTGTCCGCTTCAGATTCGGTGTGGTAACGCTTTGCGCCATTGCCCTCTTGGAGACACTGTCGTCGAGCCCATTGACCAACGGCGTGGCATGGCGTTTCCTGATGGAATAGGGGAGATGATTTTTATTTTCCATTTAACCTTTTCCTGCTTTGCTACGGGGCTTCCTCTCAACCTTGTAACCTATTTTGAGCGAGATGAGAATACTCTGATAATGCTCAAAGGATGGTACAGTTGGACCTCAAATTCTTGTCTGAACAAAATGACTAGCACTACGTTTCCCAGTGCATCCCAATCTTACATCATCGCTAGCTAGTAGTAGTATGGTCCTGGCAGATGTCTTTTGCATGTGGAAATAAATAAATTATGCTTGTTATTTCAAAGGATTAAAGAAATGCCTAATACTTGCGTGTTCTCCCTTATTTTTACTTTCCTTCTTGAGTCACAATGAAGCTGAGTTATTCGACATTTGACGCATTGTTGTCACGTCCGGCTTTTATAAAAGGTATGTGTAACTTCACACTGATCATATCACCAATCAACTCTTCCTAGTGTAAAGACTTGAATGAATGAGTGTTGGTACAATTGGTCCTTTCTTTGACCTCCACCTTTTTTCTCTTATGAAAAAAATTACCAGAAAAATAGGAGAACACCACGAGGTGCTTGGCAATTGAGTAAATGCTCCAGTTCATGCCCTTCGCTACAAGCTCGCGTCCAACAACCAACAACGCTGCCTCCACCCTGCCCTCATTCTCAAGGAGAAGGGGAGGGCCTAAGATGCAAAGAGTGTGTATTCACAATTGCAAAGGCTAAGGTGGTGCTATACTATTGCGTCTGTTGTTGGTGTTCGGTCAAGGCTCAAATAGCCTATGTGTTTGCTTGACAACGGGAGAATAAGGCGACGCCTACTTCGATACTCAAGCGTTGCTCAGCTAAGGGGAGAGTCTAATTTTCTCAGTCATAGGATTACTGGATTTAAGCATTAGACTAATACAAGAGAATATCAGGCAGACAGTAACCAGTTAAGTTGCGGCTACGGAGTGCATAACTACGGATGGGGCGAGGCCATGATGGACGGACGCCGTTGTTCGCTGGGGTGACTTCATCAATCTAAAGATATTATGCGGACTAAGTATCTTAAAGGTGCTCATAGAGTAGGATGTGTGTGCGTTCATACGGATAAGTATACGTGTGTACGTAAACTTCTAGAAAAACCACTCCAGCATGCAGGGTATTGTAGAGGACCAGGAGGTGTGGATGCCCCTTGCTTGGGTGGAGATGCTTGGATTGTTTATTATTCTTTGTCAATTCTAGTTTCTCCATATGTAGTTGTATGGCCGTAATATTTTGACAAATATAAAGGTAAAGAAAAGATTCAGCCAACTGATATGTCCTTGCGCATCGATCGCCTTCATGGCCGACGGATTCGAGTTTGATCGGATGGCCCGCAACAACCTTCGATGCCAAGAGCATGGGCTTTATTGCAAACATTAGCGCACCTCAGGATGAAAAAGAAGGAACCTTTTCCTCCGCATAAGCATATCCCATTTGGACCACCCCCATCGCTATGCTCATCCACCCTTATCTCATCTCCAATGAATCTCATCCACATGTTTCCACTCAGTCTTCTTTTCCCCGAGCTCTCCTGTTCGTCCCCATCACCATGCCCGTCCCAGCATCCACTGTGATACAAGCCAGAGGGGCGATACGGCCAGCCAGAATTGCATCGTTCCTCGTGCAGTGGGGAGAAACGCCGATGATGCGGGAGATGGTGCACAAGGGCGGTGAGGTGTGTTGGGCGATGAGTGTGACAACACTGATGTTGCTGGGTCGATGACCGCAAACGTCGCTAGTGCAACAACGGCGGCAACAATACACAAGAACAATGATGTTGTAATCGACTCTCCTGCTGTAACATCTAAGTTGTTGAAGAGGGACCGATGCTGCGAGCAAGTAGGACTTTGCAACAAGGCTCGTGTTGCACTCGAAGCTTTGCAACACTACCCCTATTGGGCTCCCCACCTAACCGTTTTTTTCTCTTTGAAGCAATACTTATGTTGCGACAGCAACAAAATCACCGTCTGTTGGTCCAGTCCAGAAAAAGTAGCGGCCAGCGGCGTGCCATCCGACCGTCGCAAAATCAGCTACCGTCGGCGGCTGGGAACACTCTTACTGCTACTCTAGCCTTCTGGAACACCATGGCACACCATGTCGTGCAAGGGATGCTCAGATCCGGCATGGATATCCATCTTAACAAGGAACCTTACTTCGTCCACAGCCGTGACATACTTTCTTAGCTCCAACTACCGTCGGGGAGCCGTTGCAGTCAGTTGGTGTTGCAGAATGGATCATGGGGGTGCTCCACCTGGATCGGTACCAGACTAATTCATGAAGGCCGCCGCCAACCTGACTACGCAACTGGCTACGACGATCATATGTCAAGGCGAGTGAATGGAGTGAAAATTGCAGTACAATTTTGCTCATATTACAACCATTTTTGAATAATCTTTTATACCTAGCGTTCTGCACCTCGGCTACATCAAACCGGGAATACGTGACAAATAAACAACAAATATGTCCATATCTCCTCTGGATTTTTGTGTGGACACGATAGATTATATTACTCCGTCGGAAAGCGAATAAACTAAAAACTTTTCTACGCATGCGGTCGTCAGTGCAAGACACACAGACAGGAGCGTGGCAACAAATTTGACCATTCCCAAGAGAAACCATGCGCGCCACTCGGCATCAAGCCTTCCAACAAGCCTATTTATCTTTGAGCAAGCGCATATGAACGCTGTCGACATGGAGACAACGGGCACCACTGACTCAAGCGTCGGCCATGGAGCAGGCGACGGCCCGAGCGTCCTCCTTCTCCCGCTCCCGGGGGCGCAGGGCCACACAAACCCGATGCTCCAGTTCAGCCGCCGCCTCGCATACCACGGCCTCCGCCCCACCCTCGTCGTCACCCGGTACGTGCTCTCCACCACCTCGCACCCTGTCGCGCCGTTCCGCATGGCCGTAATCTCGGACGGCTTCGATGCTGGTGGCATGGCGCTGTGCCCCGACTACGCGGAGTACTTCCCACGACTGGAGGCCGTCGGGTCCGAGACTCTGCGGGAGCTCCTTCTGTCCGAGGCGCGCGCTGGGCGGCCAGTGCGCGTGCTGGTTTACGACCCTCATCTTGCCTGGGCGCTGCGGGTGGCGCGGGCGGCCGGCGTGGCCACCGCGGCCTTCTTCTCCCAGCCGTGTGCTGTGGACATCGTGTATGGGGAGCTCTGGGCGGGGCGGCTGGCGCTGCCGGTGACAGACGGGCGAGCACTGCTCGCGAGAGAAGCACTGGGCGTGGAGCTTGGGCCGGAGGACATGCCGCCATTCGCGGCTGTGCCGGAGTTGCAACCGGTGCTCACCAAGACGTCGATTGGGCAGTTCGACGGTCTGGAGGACGCCGACGACGTGCTCCTCAACTCTTTCCGCGACATCGCGCCAAAGGTACGCCATACTTTGAGACTTGCCTGCTCTGCTCTAGTTATCCAATAAGTTTTGCAACAAGAAAGAGACCACGTTGTATGATGTATGAATTGCACGATGTATTGCTCATGTGCAAAGGCACGTATATATGATGTACAAATGTGGGCCACGACCTCAATTATATAAAGCAACTAGGAGGTGGGCCCAATACACGAATATGCACAACATATATACTCAACACACGTGAGCGTTTGTGTTTAATCTCTCTCTTAAGGTTGATATCAACTTAAAGAGCTCCTTAGAAATTAATCTTACACATTCGGCACTGATGAGATCGCAAGGATGGTGCAAAAATGACAAATTCAATGTAAATTATTGGAGGTGGCATAAGCGCCTCGGATGCTACCAGCACGACAACTAAACATACAAGTGTTACACGCTCCATTATTAATTATGTCACATCAGATTGATGATATGAGACCATTCATATGGGTAGGAACCAACACTCATGTGAATATGATGTTTCTATACTTAACTATTTTTAGTCGACTTTGAAAATAATTTAATATTTGAAAAACTACAAACTGAGCAGGAGGCCGAGTACATGGAGTTAACATGGAGAGCAAAGATGATTGGTCCAACTATGCCATCGTACTTTCTTGATGATAATCGCCTACCATCCAACAAGTCTTACGGTTTCAACTTGTTCAGTGATGGTGTATCGTGTATGGATTGGTTAGACAAGCATAGCATGTCCTCCGTTGTGCTTGTATGCTATGGCACCGTCTCTAACTACGATGCAACCCTGTTGGAGGAGCTTGGCAGTGGACTATGCAATTCTGGCAAACCTTTTCTTCGGGTTGTCAGATCCAACGAGGCACACAAGTTATCGGAAGAACTCAAGGAGAAATGTGAGAACAATGGATTAATTGTTGCATGGTTCCACCAACTTCAAGTTTTGCACACAAGGCTATCGGTATGGTAACACACACACACTACATTTCTTTTACTCCTTTTATGGACAAGAACATAAAAATGTTTTACAAAGTAAACAAATATGACAACACTTTATATCTAAATTCATGAACATACATGTTGGTTGTTTTGTTACCCACTGCGGATGGAACTCGACATTGGAGGCAGTTGTTAGTGGTGTTCCTCTTGTGGGAATCCCACATTGGGCAGACAAACCCACCATCTCAAAGTATGTAGAAACCATGTGGGGCATGTGTGTGAGTGTACGGATGGGTGATAAAGGATGCCTAAAGATGATGGAGGTCAAGAGCTCCATAGAGAGGTGATGGACGGAGATAGAAAGGATGAGTACAAAAGAAATGCTGCAAAGTGGATGCAAAATGCCAAGGATGCAATGCAGGAAGGAGGAAGCTCAGATAAGCATATTGCTGACTTTGCTGCGAAGTATACTTCAAATTGAATTCAGACCAATGCATTTTTCACTTCAAGTTATGAAAGTAGGCATTAACTACAATTATTTTAGAGAGAATGATATTTTACATGTGCAAGTAGAGTGCTATCTTCTCACCATTTAGAAGGATGTTCAATTTTCTAGTGTACTAACAATATGTGAACAATTGTTTACAAGTTATAGATTCATTTTAAATAAATTATAGGGAGTCTATAACAGTATTTTCATAGCAACTTTCACTTTATTAGTCCATGGGTATTCTTAGTGTTCACCCTAAATTAAGTTAAGAAGATGATTCTTTGTTCGTCCTAAATTTTCTTTGGATACCTATTTTTTATTGGTGCAATATTAGGAATTATGTAAGCTTGAATTGAAGTTGAATGCCTAAATATGTATGAAATAAAAACCCACAGTTCTTTTCGTTGATCAAATACACCAAAAGACACATGAAAGATGTATGATTAGGTGGCATTTGGTGATCTTCCTATTTGGTGGGGTATGAAGGCTCCATGGCAAGACCACACATGCCCATGTTGTCTGCATTGTCCTTCTCCATTCTAAAGTACCCATTCTCGCCCCAAGTTGTGCCCCATGAATTCTTCGTCAACCAATAACTTGTGCCATCACTAGTCTTTCCATATCCAATGGCCACAACTCCATGGTCCAAGTCAGTACCGCAAGAGCCGGTAATCACCCCACCAGAGTAGAATTGGAATGTCATGTCGCCTCCGGCCACAGCTAAGGATACTGGTTGGTTTGCCACCGCTTTCATAAGGGCACCCTAGTTATTGGCAGGCACATCATCAAAGTGGTTGATGGTTGCGGCGCTATTGGATCCAGCTTGCACTTGCCATCAGCTGCAGTAAACGGGTAGCTGGACTCCATAGTAAGACCTTCGTTCTTGATAATGAAATTGAAGGCATCATCCATGAGTCCTCCCTCGCAACCTTGATCTTCTCGATGAACATCACAGTCAACCAACTCTTGCTCCGATAGTGAGCTTAACGTTCCTGATTTCAATTTTACAATACCCCTCTGTGGCAGCAACAGTAGAAAATGCCCAGCAACAGCCTAAAAGTAATTGTGTTCTTATTGTGTTACCCTAGAAAATATTACCATATATAAGCAATGCATCACAATGTGTTATGACTTACCGCACTGGCCTTGATCCTTGATAGGGCCCTCGAGTCCATCGTTGCTGGAAGGGCTTCAAAACTCAAATTCTCATACCTGAATCCTGAAGAAAGAACTCTCATGGAGTTTGCTTTGAACCCCTTGTTTGTGTTGGTTGTCCTGAACTCATCGTTGGTGATATCAGCCAATTGGTTGACGCCGAGCCATGACTTGTGATTCTGGGCATTGAACATTTCAATGAATTCAACGTTGGCTATGAAAACCTTGAACCGGCACGCCTTCTGAGTGGCGTTCTTGTACACGCGGCCGTACTGCGCCATCCATTTCTCATGCTTCACCGGTATCGATAAGTCATTGTTTAGCACACAAGTTGCAATGACAGTTCCACATAGGCAGATGCAACCCAGGATGGCAAGGAGCAAAGCCCTGTGGATGGCCATCTTCAATTATGCACCAAAATGCATTTCTTCTAGTACCGTGTACTGTGTACTTTGCTTTGGTTTGGTTTGTTGAATGGAACTTTGTGGTATATATAGTGGCATGTACGTGTTAGAATAGGATGTATATAGATACCTTGCTTGTATGAAGTTGTTTGTGGAAAAGGGCTTGTGCGTTGCCGTGGAGTGTGGTGTCCGGCCAGATCGCTGCTTGTTTGTTTCTGGACTCTACATCTTACGAGAAGCCCTGATTAAGAGATTTACTAATGAAACAACAACCTGCTTGTTTATTTCAGGAGTCTACATCTGAAAAAGAGCATAGACGTGACGACTAGTTTGCACAAATGAAGCAAATAACTGTGTGCTCAGATAATGAATAGCCAGCCTCATAATAATATACTGTTCGACAAGAATTGTCTTAGTTTCCCAAGATCGGTTTCACAGCCATGAAATTTCCTTCCTGTCATCCTGGCTCGCATTTTGCTCTTAGTCAGTAGGGAAGGGAGTAAATGGACTTTTGTACTCGTTAGGGCTTTATATTTTTTTTCGCGAATACACAGAGGCGTATCATTTCATTGGTAGGTAGAAAGAGTGAAAAGGGTACAAGGCCGCAGCGATATGTGTACAACATAGGGCGTAGATGGGACTGTGAGAGCAGAAGACAAGAGGATGCTCAGCCCGTAAAGAGAAAAGAAATCGCTCTCACTGCATCAAGCTATCTAGCCTTTGGCTCCCGCTCGAGCCCAGTTGTGTGCGACTTCTTTGATGGCTTGAACCACCCTAGTGGTGGAGGGGTGCTCATTGTCAAAGACACAAGCGTTGCGATGTGTCCAAAGGGAGAGAAGGATCGGCGAGGCTAGCCAAGGGGCACAAACGGATGAGTCGACAAATGGAATCGTCAACGAGTCGCAATCGAAGAAGCACACAAATCAAGATTAGATGGAGATTAATCTTGAGTAATTTGAGTTCTGAAGGAATACTAGTCCGATTCATGCAAGGTGAAGTCCTGCTTCCTTTTCTACTAGGTGAGGAGAGTTTGAGTTAGTAATACTAGTCCTAGTTAGGTTAGAAACTAATCATGCCGGAGTCCGGTTTAGGACTTTGCACTTGGTCCGTTTAGGACGGCGATCCCTATATGGCGCATAGGTCGCCCGCTAGCGAGTTGGCGCGTGCCCCCCTAGCGTCCACAGCTTTTTGGGCCGGCCCATAGAGGGATTCCTCCCCACCGGTTTTGGGAAGGTTCTAGAATCTTCCCTAAAACCTTTTATTCTTGTTTATTTGTTCTGGTTTGTTCTTTTGTATTTCCTTTTTCATGTTACTTTTTTTTCTTTTTTCTTTTTTTTCTTTTCTCTAATGTTCCGTTTTCTTTTTTCCTTATTTTCCCCTTTTCTAAAACTTTTTCTGCCATGTATCGAATCTGCGAACAAATGTTCTTAAATTGTGAACATTTTTCAAATTGCCGAACATTTTTTGAAAACTCGTGAAAATTGTTTTGATAAAGTGATTTTTTTAAAATCCTGAATTTTTTTTATATCAGTGAATTTTAAAAAATCATGAATTTTTTCAAGTTTACGAACATTTCTTAAACTTGTGTACATTTTTTGAAATTTCTGAATTTTTTTGAAATTCAGGAACATTTTTGTTTTCAACAAGTAATTTTTTAGTTCCTTAATAGTTCTTGAAATAGCGAACAGTTTTCATATTTTGTGGACATTTTTTCGAATATTTGAACATTTTTCAAAATTCTTGAACATTTTTTTAATATTGTGAACATTCTTATAGAAATTCATGAACATTTTTTGTAATTGTAAATATTTTTTGAATAGACAAACATTATTTTCGAAATTGCGAACATTTTTTGAATCCATGAGAATTTATCATTTCCTGGAAAAATTTAAAATAGTGAACAATTATTGAATTCACGAACAATTGGAAAATTTGCAATTTTTTCTGAAATCCTAAATTATTTTTTAAAATAAGGTAAAGCTGAAACTGAAAAAAAGGGCGAAAGAACAAGCGGCTGCCCGCCCCACACATGGGCCGGCCCATGGAGGTGTGCGGGGGAGCAGGGAGGGTACGTGCTCCCGTAGCTGCCGGCGCCTAAGGCGCCATATAGGAGGTCTAGTTTAGGACGTAACTGTATGTGTCCGTATTTTATCAGGACTTGATTCACAAGTCGGCTAGGTACATGTTGAATTCATACAGAATTGGTGGAAAAACTTAACATATGCTGGTGCGTTGCATTGGGGGGAAAACTTAACATGTTATCCATCATGTCAGAAGCTAGTTGCTCAAGCAAAGTTGGATTTTTAGGGAGGGAAGCGCGCGAGACGTATATGATTAACCTAACCTAGCGAGATATGTAATCAATGGACCTGTGTCGTGTGATGATGTACCATACGAAGGGCAATCACATTTCATATAAAACAATAAATCCACGCTAGCTCGTTGATAAAGCCGTGCAGGGAGCTGACGAAAAAATTATAGGGGGGCAAGGTGTCGCCAGGCTGGTCAACACGAGCCGCCACCCTACTGCACATCTGCAGATCCAGTGCCGATCAATGTCAGGCACGCGACCGTACATGCACCGTTCCAAAGAAAGAAACGGAGAAAGAGGGGAAAGGGTACAACCCCCTCAAAAACGTATGAAAGAGCATTACGGGCCTTTGACAAATCGTACATACACCTACACGCTCCTACATCCATCCATATAGGCTGGTCAGAATTTCGTATGTGCTTGCATCGCCAAAAATCAGTGCATGATAGGTGTTTTACTTGCTGAGTTGTGTCGCCGTGTCTATCGCACTTGCACCGCCCTACCAAGCTCGCTGCCAGCGCCGGTCAGCTGACAGCGGAGCACCGGCGCTGCATTTGATCCCCCATTGCCCGACCTCACCGCGTAACGCCCGCAAATCGTCGGCGCCCTACTATGCACTACGGGCACCGATGTCGTTGTCCAGCCATGCCGAGCCGCCGAGACGTGTGCTGTTGTGTGCCACTCCCATGGTGTTTGTTCAAATGTGCCTCCCGCCGCCGGCTGTTGCCACTCGCTGTAGTCGCCCAAGATTGCCCATCATGCCCTCGTAATCGAAGGGGTGAGTTTTAATATCCACCCTTGATTTACTAAATGGTGTGTACCGAAGCGGAAGTGCTGCTGATTTTAGAACTTTATATAAAGAGGGGGTTGCTACAAATCAACCGGATGATTTTCTAGGAAATCATCTGCCTAAACAGCTGTTCGATCTAATGGAAATTGGTCATTCAATCGCAATAAACAGAGCCGTCGTCTTTCTTTGTTCTCCCTTCGATCACGCGGCTACCTCGCAACACCGGAGCACCGACTACCTCATCTTCCTTCTTTGCTGCGTCGGCTACCTCGCACCAGCAGAGCCAGCATGACAAAAAGCTTTAGCACAACAGCTTCCATGGCAGCAGCGCTTGGCGCGAAGCATTGACGGCGCCCGGCAGTGCTCCATTGCAGCCTCGCAGAGATTCAATGACCCTGTGGTGTTTCACTGCAGCTCCGACAACACTTCATTGCAGCCCCGACGGAGCTTCAATGACCCACCGCGGCGCTCAATTGCAACTCCGAAGGAGATTAAACGGCCTTGTGGCCCTTCACTGCAACTCTGGCAATTCTTCATTGCAGCCTTGGCGGAGCTTCAATGACCCGCCGAACTGCAGCACCGGCGGCCGCTGATGAGCGTCCATCGTGTGGGTGTGGCACAACAACGCCAACCACTGCAGCCTCACCGCGCTGCGTCGTGTTGCACAACATCAACGGCCAGTGCAACGTCGATGCCCTCTTCTGTAGCAGTGGTGCTCGATGTCGTCTTTTGCAGCGGCCCTCGCTGCCCCCACAACAATGTTGTGCAACCGCAACAGTTCGCCGGTGGCCTGGGTGTGCAGCGTCGGCGTGCGTCTGCAATAGAGATGCTGACCGAATAGCCGCCCATGCTGCTCCATCGGCTTTGTAGCCAAGCCGGCCCTCGCGCATAAGTGGTCGTGCCCCCTCGCACCCCCTAGCACTCCCGATAGTCACCGCCCCTCACAGCATCTGGACCCATGTGCTTGAAAAACGACGATGGTGGTTTGCAGCAGCGGTGCAGAACTTCAGTATTGCAGGAGCAGGGCCGCGGCAAGCGTTGTGCTAATGGAAGCAGAAACAGAGGTAAGGAATGAGTGGCTCACGCTTGTGGAGAACAGATAAGGGAGAGAAGCAATAAAGCGGTGAGCGAGCGCCGCGGTTGGTGTAAAGCTAGCCTAGAAAGCAGCTTGGTTGATTTTGTAGCCAGTCTTCCATCTTGCCAAGTTGACATAGTCATATGTACTATTTTTTTGGAGAACGCTCTAGATCGAATCAATTTCTTGTCTGCTTGAACAAAACATTTGGATAGAAGCGGTGTCAGCCTTATCTCTTAAGGACACAACCACATGAGGCCATCGTCCATGTCCTGCCCTTCTTCGTCATTTTTTCTGCTTCCGTCATTGCTGGTGCTCGTGAGCTGGTTGGTGTCTTTGGCTTGTTCGATTCATGCAACTTGCGAAGGTATATAAGTTGGTAGAATTTGATTTAAATGAACAAGGTGGGACTATTTTTTTTAGGCAACCTCACAAAGCTTATATTAGATCCTCACAATGTTTACAGGGACGGATGGTAAATTCCCGGG